AATCCTTATCTTAGTTTCTACCTTCACTTTCCTGAAATTTAGCGCAAATCCACCTGTATCACGTGATGTTTTCCGTCCTGCTTGGGAGCAGAGGAGGCAAATCAACGGTACCTTCCGGCAGGGCAATATTATCAATGTAGTCAGAGTCATTCACCAGACGTCCTAGTGCAAACTCAACATCGTCAGAACTCTGAACGCCCATCCCGAGAATCCAGTCAATCGCGTAACTGAACAGAAAGAGCGACAGAATATGACCTTGACGAAAAGCTGGAAGCGGCTTATGCGGTTCAGAGCTCGCGATGGACGGAACAGGACACTGTAGTGGGACGCAAACGGCTACCGTTTGCTTGTAGTCACTGTGCTTTTCGAGAAGATACCGCACTAGCTGAAGTCAACCTTAGAACTCGCATAGGCCAAGGCGCGTTTAAAAACTACGCACAATCTAAAACTGTCTGAGTATGACAGTAACATTGATGGGGCATGTGCAGCAGGCCAGGGTGAGCTGAACAAATCTGACGACTTTCAAAAGTGAACCCTGACGTAAATACTAACGCCTTGTATCGACGTCCGGTTTAGAATTTGACTTAACTGGATCTCGCCCTAGCATCGCACCTACTTTTAAATTGCTGGAAAAGGATAACGCCGAGAGTAACTTCACAGTAATACTAAGGAGGCTTAGTCGGACGGAATATCGTCTTATCTGCTTTTTAAAGAAGGGCATAGGGATGACCGAGCCTTGTGGATGGGGCGCTTCGGGTCCTGTGAACGGTGGTAGCATGGATCCCAGTACTGCGATAAAATACCTTTTGGACATTTTTCATACAGCCGAACAGCAGCCCGGATTGTTCATTCGTTGTTACCTCCTCTAATGCTTTGGCTCAAGAACTTAATCGTAAGGCGCCAGTGGCAAGCAAACTCAGCTGCTGGCGGTGTCCGTGCGCATCATGTGGTAGTGCGGTAATCAAGCCTGACAGCGCCTTATGATGTGGCGGTTCGACCGTCGTTGTTTACTATGTTCACTGTGCGTCTCACGGCAGCTGAACGCGGGGCGATGACTTGCGCGTGATAGACTTGCACCGAATCCATCGCACCCTCTCCTCTCTCCCAACTGAGAGCGGTGTTAAAATTGAGCCAAGAAAGCCGGAGCATGGGATCGGGTTCAGGTGGCTGGTACGGCGTGAAACCACACCCCTTGGTCTAT